GATCACTCCCATTTTCCCGAGTACACGGATCATTCCCAGCTCTCAGAGGATCATTCCCATTTTCCCCAGCCCATGGACCATTCCCATTCTCCCGAGCCCACAGATCACTCCCATTCCCCCAGCCCACAGATCACTCCCATTTTCCCGAGTACATGGATCATTCCCAGCTCTCACAGCACTCGGATCACTCCCATTTTCCCGAGCCCACGGACCACTCCCCTTTCCCGTTCTCACCTGGCGGTTGGCCCTGGCGAAGCTCAGCCCCACGCCCTCCAGCAGCTGCCCGGTGAAGCCGGGCGGGCAGGGGTCGCAGCGGAAGCCGGGGCTGGTGTTGATGCACTGCACTTTGGGGAAGCAGGGGTTGGCATTGCACTGCAACGAGACAGAGATGCCCAGGGCAGTGCCAGGGGTGGCTCCAGGGCACCGCCAGCTCCTGGGGTTTTGTTTTAGGGAAGATAAAATCGCACAGAAATTCCTCGAGAGCTGCCCCAGCTTGGCTGAAACTCTCCAGGTTGCAACAAAACAAAGCCACTTTCAGCTCTAATTCTCCTCCAGCGGCACCAGATCCCTGCTCCTGCTTCACATTTTCCTTCCTGGAATCCCCAGAGTCCAGGGCACAGCACAATTCCTCCCCCTGGCCTTGGAACACAAGCAGAGCTGTTTGTTCACTGCCCTTYTCCAACATTCCTGGGAATGCTTTGCTCTCTCCCACACCTCGTTCCTTCCCCTGGGTTTTTACGCTCTCCACTGGCAGATGTTTCCAGGAATACAGCRAGTCCCAAATTTGGGATTAACAGATTATCATCAATCCCAAAACCTCCCACGGAGCCTTCAGCAGGTTCTAAATGAAATGCAATTGGGGCTCTGCAAGAGTGGGATAATCAAATTTAGGAATCTGCTTTGGGAAGCACAGAACTCAGGAGCCCTGAGGACACTCAAAATCCAGGCATGAGCATAACTCAGAGCCTAAATTGGAGGAATGCCACATTCCCTAAAAAAAACCCGGAGTGTCTGCCCAGCGGGGTTTGATTTAGGGGCAGGGTTTGATTTAGGGGCAGGGTTTGATTTAGGGTAAGGAACAAAGCCCTGTGGTTGGGATTTGCTGTTCCGAGGATTATTTGGGAAGGGTTTAATCCCATTCCACACCCAATAAATCCTATCTGGAACAGCTCCTCAGCCCAGCAGGCCACCCTGGCCTTTCCTGGGTGGTATAAACCCAAAGATTCATTCTGTCGGGGTGAATCCCACCCGGACCGGCCCTAAACCCTGCCCGGGGAGGTGAAGGGTGGAACTGCGGCTCCTGCGGGGATTCGCAGCTTTTCCCCACGAGATC